TCAGTCACATGCACTCTTTCATGTTAGAAAATTCACATACATATCACAGTCACACACATACACAACAGACAAATAAATAGTTCAGCAAAGTTTTGAGTAGCCTTATAACAAACATTACATTGACTGAGTGAAAAGCTCCAACAAATGCCATTTTGCAAATTAGCATTCATCAGTCTTGCACCCAGCTGTCATTTAATCGTTAAATCTGATATGGTCATAAGAGGCTCTTATTTTAAAGACAATATGGCTATGCATTTTGAGAGTAGTCATCACTTGGAATTTATTTTCCAGTAAATGCTGCTTAATCTTTTTAAAATGCCATTTTTTGAAGTGCCATCAGGTTTGAACCATATCTGTTCTCTCAAATTCAAAACTGACGTTTTCGTATAATTTTTCTTTTTTCCCAAGGATGTACTCATATTTCGTTAGTCAGAACTACTAAAAAATCCTCCGGAAAGAGACCTCAGCATTTTCCCTGTTTGTTATGTTCCTTTCCTATCAGTCTCTCATTTTTCAGCTTTGTCTAACATCTTCCTTGCATTATAGAACAGTCCATGTGTGTATGTCCTTTTCTCTAACCCAAACAATCACTCAACCTTTAGAAAGATATGCCTGCGCTCATATGACCTAATGCAGTTGCGAGTGATGTAAGACTCATACTAAACTAAACCAAAGATATGCCTGGCATTGTCAGTCAGCTTAACATTTCATGTTGTATTTTTCCAGGTCTTGCTGTTTGAGAAAGAGGATCTGACCAACTGCTCTCCTTCAAATGTTACTCAGGTCAACAAAAGAGTGTTCAAGGTAACATTGCAGCAGACAGTCGATATACTGTCGTTGATTGCTGGCTTGGCTTATGAGAAGAAAGATTATGTAAAACTGTTGTGCATCGGTGCAATATTGAGTGTTTGGTATTCTTTGCATGTATATTTGTGTTTGAATATGATGTATTCATGTTTGTATGTTTTCCATTGTTACTTAATTTCCACCTTGGGGATCAATAAAATGTAATTTATATATATTTATAATTTATTACACTTGAAAGTTGACCTTATCTCTGGGTGTTTGGTGCATATTCTAGTGTGGTTATCTCCTTTTTTCCCTCAAACACCTCTATTGTCCTGATCTCTCTTCCTTTTTTTGTATTTGTTACTCTCTTGTAACACACATAATCTTTGGCACTTATATGACCTAATTGTATTGCAAGCGCCGTAAAACTCTTGCTAAAATTTTAACAAACTGAAAGTAACATCATTGTCTCATTTCAGATTGAGAGTATTAAATCCCCATCTTAACTTAACGTTCTATCTACTAAAATACTTAATCGACGTGTAGGGCAAGGAGTAGCAGAGTTTAGTTTACCGATCGTGTCCTTCCCAGCTGTCCCCTGTCCACTGTGCAGCGGTCAATCCCAATGTGAAGTACCTGGAGAAACTGCTGTCCGTGGTGCCAGACGTACACATGACGGACACCACCGGCCGGAGACCGATTCACTTTGCCGCTTGTTGCAGCAGCACGGCTCCCCTGGAACTGCTGTTGGGCTGGTAAGTGACCGTCATTTTCGTTGGTGTACACGTGAAATGTGAGGCATCATGGTGAAATCAGGCGCTCCTCAAAATAATGAAATCGAAGAAACAGGCATTTTTCTGCCAGTTTGGCAATTTTTGTATGGAATTTTCGTTTTTTGGCTCAACACCTTTTATGTCCACATAAGAACACATCTCCTTTTAAATTTGACTGAAAAACGTTTATTGAAGGCATAAAATGCACAATTTTTCAGTTTTCAAAGACTCTCAAGCCATTGAAGTTACCCGAGTTTGGCGGCCATTTACTCGCTAATTTTAGAACTGAATCCAGGCAACCCTACCTTCGTTAATCGCAAATATCTCAGCTTCTAGTCAAGATAGATGAATATTTTTTTCTTTGAAAGCAAGACAAATGAATAAGCTTTTAGGTGATATCCATAACTCCATATGCGCAAAAATTGACGAGTGCTTGATTCCACCGAGTCGCAACTCAAATTGTCCAAGAAGGCTGCCTATTGTTCAGGAGAAAAGTTGCTGTCTTAAGACTTGTTGGATATTTCAGGCAACGTATTTGATAAAATAGAAAAAAATACAAGGGGGGAAGTAGGAAGTGGTTGTTTGAACAGGTGATTGTCTGGGATAGATTGCCATTGCAGCAAGTTTGACTGTTTTTAATAACCTTGCACACTCTGAGCTGGAAATGGCAGACCATTAAAATTTGCTCAACTTGCATGGCACAGAGCAGTCTCCTGGAGTTCACATTCTTTTGCGTTTGGTGGACTTATTGCTCTAAATGTTTTTTGGGATAGAAGTATGCGCTACACTTTTGCAGATGGATTCAATTCTGATTTCTATTTATCTGCTGCAACAATTGGTTTTCTTAAGGCTTTTAGACGATATACCTTATTTGAAATTATTGTCAACTTTTTAAGAATGTGTAAGAAGTAATCTGAATGGTGATTTCCGTTATGTTTTCAAATATGATCTCCTAGCCCCTGGGGTGCAGAGCTTAGGTAACCATTTGGACTCTTGATATTCTAATCCAAATGTGTAGTGAATTTATGTTATTGTTTCTGGAACATTATTTCACTGTGTCTTTGAAGGAATCTCTTACATTTGTATTATTGTGTTTAGTAAAGTGCTAAGCTTTAAAGACATGGATTAACAGCTATGCTCTCTAAAGAAAAAAAATCCTATAGAATAATTTTTTTTTTCTAATGACGTTTAAAGAAGATGAATAAAAGGAATTTACAATCTTAGTCATACATTCAACATTCATTTCCCATTACATCTTCAGTGTCCAAAGTCATAAATTTGACAGTTTTTATTTTTACTGACTTTGTGGGGGGGTTGGCAGGTGCTCTGGTGCTCTGTGCTCTTTTCTTTACTTTCAAAGATCTATCATGCTTACCTCTCCTCCTTCTATTTATATGTTACTATCCAGTGACACCTCTAATCTTCAGCACTTATATGACCTAACTATGTTGCAAGTGCAGTAATACTCTTACTATGCCGAAAACTGACTGGTATTCTTTGTAGGGGAGGAAACCCAAATGACACAGATTCGCAGAGAAACATCCCCCTTCACTACGCCGTGAAGGCCAACAGACCAGACAATGTGCAGCTCTTGTTCAAACACGCGTCAGCCAGTGAGTATAACTGGTCAGCATCATCATCATTGCCTTTCTCACCCTGGATCAGGATATAGGCCGTGAATAAACACTTTCCACCTTTTCCTATCCTGGGCTAGTTGCTTGATGTCACTTCATTATGTCTTCCCACTTTTCTGTACATCCATTTCCGTGACTCTTCTCCTGATTCCACGTGGTCTTCCCCTTAATCTTTTACTTGTGGGTTCCAATCTAACACTTTCCTTGTTATTATGCAGCTGCTTGACTTCCTGAAAGTGTGTCCAATCCATCGCCAACGCCTTCTTCCCACCTCATCTCTGGCTGGGCTGTCTCGTTCTTTTTAATACTTCCTCGTTAGTAATCCTGTCTGTCCATTTGATCCTCAGTAACTTCCTAAGACACTTGTTCAAGAAAACCTGGATCCTCTTTATGCAAGTCTGAGATGCGTTCTATGTCTCACATCCATACAACAAGACTGACTTCACATTTGAGTTGAAAATCCTCAGCTTTGTTCGTAGTGAGATATCTCTGGTCCTCCAAATCCTATTCAAAAAGATAAATGCAGTCTGTGCCTTTCCAGCGTGGGACTTTATTTCAGCACCTGTTCCTCCCTCTCTGTCAATTATACTCCCAAGATAGCAGAAGGATTCGATTCCCTCTATTGTGACCTGCTCCTTTCGTAGCGCATCTATCCTTAGGACTTTTGACTTTCCGGGGTGGATCCTCAGTATAACAGACTCTGAAAGGCTGTTTGAAACTGTGGTCTTTGCTTGCATCTGTTCCTATGACTGGTCAGGCCATCATGTAAAAAGGAGATCTTCATCTGTGATTTTTGTCTTGACCTTATAGATCTTTTTACCGTTTTGAAAAAAATGTCTGTCTGTCTGTCTGTCTGTCTGTCTCTGTCTTCTTGTCTTGTCCGGCATCTTGACCAAAAAAAAAAAAAAAAAAAGAAGCAAAACTTGTAATGTCTGTCTGTCTGTCTGTCTGTCTGTTTGCCCGTCTGTCTGTCTGTCTGTCTGTCTGTCTGTCTGTCTGTCTGTCTGTCTGTCTGTCTGTCTGTCTGTCTGTGTGTCTGTGTGTCTGTCTGTCTGTCTGTCTGTCTGTCTGTCTGTCTGTCTGTCTGTCTGTCTGTCTGTATGTCTGTTTGTCTGTCTGTCTGTCTGTCTGTCTGTCTGTCTCTGTCTCTGTCTCTCTCTCTGTCTCTCTCTCTCTCTGTGTCTCTCTCTATTATTTATATACATATAGAGAGAGAACTTGTACAAATTAAGTTAATAATCATGAAAATTGGCTCTGTCATGTAGTTAGGAATATTGTGTGCTACCTTAAAATGTGAGGCAGTGTGGTGGAATCAGGCTCTCGTCAAATTAGTGAGAAAATGGCCGCCAAAGATTAGTTATTTCCTTAGCTTAAGAGTCCATGGTAACTGAAAATTTAAATTTTGTGTGTCTTTAATCAACGTTTTAAAGAAAAATCCACACAGAAATGAGTTCTTTAATGGGCATGAAAGGTGTTGAGCCAAAAAAACAAAAATTTGGTAAAAATTCACAAACCTGCGGAAAAAGGAAAGTTTCTTCACTTTGATTATTTTGGCGAGAGCCGAATTCCACCACGCTGCCTCACAAATGGAAATTTTGAATTCTGAAGAAAATATCATTTATTTAAAAACTGATGCTAAGGCTAGTGTCACAGAATTACATATAGAAGAGAGAGAAAGAGAGAGAGAGAGAGAGAGAGAGAGAGAGAGAGAGAGAGAGAGAGAGAGAGAGAGAGAGAGGGAGGGAGGGAGGGAGGGAGGGAGGGAGGGAGGGAGGGAGGGAGGGAGGGAGGGAGGGAGGGAGGGAGGGACGGAGGGAGGGACGGAGGGACGGACGGACGGACGGACGGACGGACGGACGGACAGACAGACAGACAGACAGACAGACAGACAGACAGACAGACAGACAGACAGACAGACAGACAGACAGACAGACAGACAGACAGACCAATGGGCTCGCAGACAGACAGACAGACAGGGAAACAGCCATCACAAGTTTTGTAATTTTCCCCTAGATGCGGGACAAGACATGCTGAGTGGCAAGTACGGTGTGGGTGGCGTGAATCGACCCACAAAGACTTCTCACACGCCTCTTCACCTCGCTGTTTTGAGGGACAAAATTGTGAGTAGAATTATTTCGACTGTATAGTTTTGTTTTGAGATCCAGAGCTTATCTCATTTCTTCTAAACTCATTTTGGGGGGCTGTCGTGGCCTAGAGGTTAAGGTGTTGGCCTCTCATTCAAAGGTCCCCGGTTCGAATCCGAGGAGCGACCCAAAAATGTTCTTCTCTAAAATTGTCTTCTTTAACCTCCTTTCCTGCTCTCTAGCAATGTTCTGTCGTCTGCTTTCGACTTCTCTTTCTGCCCCCACCCCTTCACCTCCTTTGCCCCTTCGTCTGGGCTCCTGACTCTTTTTGCAACCTTTCTACTGCTACTCCTTGGCTCCTTCTTACTGCTGTCTTTCAGCCACACCCCTGATCTTCTGGTAGGAAAGATCTACACCTAGCCTTCTCGGACAAGGGCGAAAAATCTTGGAGGGCCCGTGTGCAAGTTGTGCAAGTAAAAGATCCCTTGGTGGTCTAAAATCGATTAGAGTAGGCTCTAGCCGCCACCCGAATAACAACTGAAAATACTAGGTGTGTCCCGCGCGCTCATATGACCTTATGCAGTTGCGAGCGCCGTAAAACACTTTACAAAAACAAAGAACACCTAATCCTCGGCCCTTATATGACCTTATTGTGCTGCTAGTGCCGTAAAACTCTTATTAAAACTAAACTCTCTTGTAACACCTCTAATCTCCACCCCCCGGGCAAAATTCAAAATTTGCTACCAACTGAAAAAGCTTAACATGTCCTGCACGCTCATATGACCTTATTCACCGTAAAACACTTACAACCCCCCCCCCCCTCTTATTATGTTCATTTCTTTTTATGTTCTTTGACTCTGGGGTCTCTCTGAAATAAACCATGTTATACTAATGACAGCCTTGGTGTCTTCTGTTTTTTTTTGTAGCCTTGTTTTCTTGAAATTTGTATGGTAATCCTGACTTTTATAGAAGTAAGTGTCTAGGTCATACAGCAGACTACCTTATAATTCTTTCTAAAACTTCCCATCTTCTTTGTCAATCTCTCCCCTCCGCCCCCCCCCGCCTTTCTCTTTTTATCATTTTTTTTCCTAATGCCCTTTTACGTACGTAAGATTGAATTCAAATGTTGGGTGAATTATGTGTTCTATTGGTTTAATACCAACTTAAACAAACAAACAAACTAGGCATGTGTTTTTGAAGAATCTTGTCTTTCCTTATATCATGTAATTTTTTTGTGAACATGTCCTCAACTTGTGAAGTTCTTAAAAATTTCAGCTCTTGTTTCTTACATCTTACCTATCCATCTGTTGTGTCATTATTTGTTACGTCTGTAAAGATCGCAAACTCATTAATATGGGTGGTTGGCGGGTGCTCTGGTTAGGTTTGCTTCTTCTTTCCTATCAAACAACTATCGTCCTTATCTCCCCTTCTTTTTTATGTTTGTTACTCTCTTGTAACACCTGTAATCTCCTGGCGCTCATATGACCTTATGCAGTTGCGAGCGCCGTAAAACCTCTTCTAAACCTAAAAACAAAACTCATGAATATATGTACAGGTGTAACATTTCTGGTCCTGTCGATGAACAGTTCAGTACTGGGTTTTTATGGGAATATATCGTGAAGTTATTCTGTTACTCTCTTGTTTTGGAAAGCATTTTACGGTGCTCGCTACTGCTTAAGGTCATATGAGCGCTGCTATTCTCTGTCTTGTAACAGGAAATGGCCAAAGTTCTGCTGGCAAATGGAGCAAATGTGAATGCCAAACTAAACGTGGCCATGATGCAGATCACTCCGCTCATGTTTGCAGCTCAGAGAGGAAACCTGAAGATGGTTCGTCTCCTGGTGGAGAAGGGTGCGGTTGTGGAGCAGAAAGGTTGGTTGGCCTAGAATGATCAACCATGCCCAAAGTTATCAACCTTGCCTTGGATTATCAAACATACCTAGAATAATCAACCATGCCTAGAATAATCAACCTTGCCTTGAATTATCAAACATACCTAGAATAATCAACCATGCCTAGAATTATCAAACATACCTAGAATTATCAACCATGCCTAGAATGATCAAACATTCCTAGAATTATCAACCATGCCTAGAATTATCAACCATGCCTAGAATTATCAAACATACCTAGAATTATCAACCATGCCTAGAATTATCAAACATTCCTAGAATTATCAACCATGCCCAAAGTTAGTTGTATCTAAGTTTGTGATTTTTGCTGTGGAGAATGAGATCAGTTCTGGCAGCTAAGAGTTTAACACATTTTGAGCATTTAGAAGCTTCATTTTCAATTGTGGATGAGCCCAGATTGTGGGCTTCTTCCTTGGCTTTAACATTTCTACTTCGTGAAACCTGGTGTCTTATGTGGGGCGAGCTGACAAAATGAGTTACTTCTCGCAATCCACAAATGTGAAGTGTGCTGACAAAATGAGTTACTTCTCGGATTTATGGAAATAGATACTTCATGCTTATAGGTGAAGCTTTTACAATTTATAAGTATGAAATAATAATAGGTGTATTATAGTTAAAGAATATGGCATCAATAAAAATTCTACAAATTGGACCCTCGTGTCAATTTTTCTTAAATATATCCATTTGTGTCAGCACGCCTCACAAATGGAGATATTGGCAAAAAAAATTCAACACAAGAGTAAAATTGTAGATTTGCTATTGATGCCATATTCTTTAAGTGTAATATTATGCCTGTTATTATTTCATTCTGATGTATCTTTAAAAACTTATAAACGTGGTGTATCTATTTCCATATGGCTTGAATCCAAGAAGCAACTCATTTTGTCAGCACGTTTCACATATATCTGTTGTACGTCTATACCGTTGTAAGGAAGTGCACTGGATGTATCATCATACACTGGCTTACAAATTTACTTTTTCTCGGTGCGAAAACCAAGCATAGATTTCTTTAGATGTCTTGTCTTCAATATACTTCCAACTGCAGTAAACATATTTTCTGGGGCGACCAAAGGCAAGATTTTAGCTCCGGAAGTTTTTGCGTACCTTTATCATACCATTTATCTGAACTCCTTCAAAGCTCTATTGATGTACTTGTACCTTGTATTCTTTTCTTTGGCTCTCAGATCGTCTAGGTCGCACAGCTCTTATCCATGCTTGCAAGAACGGAGCAACCAAGGTGCTGTCTTACTTCCTTCACATCGGGGCTAACGGAGAGCGGGGAGACCACTCGGACAACACCCCACTGCACTACGCTGCGGCCTTTGGATGGCTGTTCACTGTCAGGTTTTTACTGGAGGCAGGGGTGGATCCAAATGCCAGCAACATGTGGAAAGTAAGTACTGCAGAGACTGATGAAACAATTTTGGCATAAGGCAGTTCTGAGCGAGTTTGAAACCTGAATGTTATTTATTGTTGGAGGCACTAATAATGGCTGAAGGAGAGGGATTTTTTGGCTCTGCCATAAAAAAAAAATTGCACTGCTTAATATGAAGAAAAATAAAGTAGAAGTAGAAAATGGAAACTAAATCTAGATAACATGAAGTCGGCCTTATGTTCCAAGCCAGTCCAGTGCTATGGTGCAGTCTGTGTTGTTTTAGACTAGGTTGTGATAACACAAGGTACTGTAAGAGATAAGCAAACAGAGTAGTTTTTGACAAAAGGCAGTAACATGCAGAGTGTCAGGTTCTTTTTTATTTAGAGGGCGTGTGTATCTTGATAGAGACTTGTGTAAATTTGACATGTTCATTGCATTGAAATTATAACGACACAACCGTGCAACAGGCAAAACAACAAGCAAAAGAAAGACTTTTGCTTCCTTCCTTGACACCGCAAGGTAACAGAGGCTGGACAAGTAAGGTTAAAAGAAAAGTTGTTCTCGCATCCGATCCGGACATTGGGGATTGCCTTGTTTGTGAGACAACTTCCTGGGCCTTTGGCATATTGTGGTGGGGTGGCCAGTTCCTTTCCACACTACCTTTACTTCCCCAAATCGAAGTCAGGTACCCATTACTGCTGGGTGGGCAGGAGGGAGCGAAAAAATTTGTGTCCGAACCGAGACTCAAACCCGGACTTTCGAGTAAGGTTAAGTAAAGAAAACAGAAAATGCCTCGGATCAATATGGCACGCTTGTACAGTTGTAAATTGCATCTGGACCAAGCCAACTGTAGCATTTATAACTTTTTTTGTTGTTGTTACTGTCTGAAGGTGACTCCGGTCTCGGTGGCCTATTTAAAAGCCCAGAACGGCATAGTGAGAGAGCTGCTCAACAGTGACAAAGTGGACATCAACTTCCCCGATGACAATGGTGAGTTCTAATAATAATAATAATAAATAGCATTTGTATTGCGCTTATCCCCGCTCAACAGCAGGCTCTATTCGCTTTACACTATATTATTACCCCAGCAGACCATAGAACACTCCGAAACATTCTCAGTTTCCCGGGAAGCATACAGTGCAAGCAACTGATTAAGTGCTCAAACACTAACAAACTGACAAGATCTTTCGCTGTCTATAGCCGGGTACCCATTCCCACCTGGGTAAAGTGAGGAAAATTTGTGTAAAGTGCCTTTCCCAATGACACAACGTCGGGCCCCTGACGGGATTCGAACCCGCGACCTTACGATTGCGAGTCCGAGAGCCTAACCACTAGGCCACCGACAGCTCTCTGAAACATGCAGCAACATTAGAACTTAAAAACATCTGCGTTCTACTTTTAGCAAAAAACTTAGCTCTGGTGTGGTTTGCTTATTTCCTATCAAACATCTATCGTCTTTATCTACCCTCCTTTTTTTTTGTTGGTTACTCTCTTGTAACACCCTCTATTCGTCGGCGCTTATATGACCTTATTGTGTTGCAAGTGCCGTAAAACACTTACTAAAACTAAACTTAAAGTCAATTTATTTGTATAAGATCAGATTACACATTTCTTAATTGATTTTTAGGTGTGTAATTGGTTCAGTTTAACTGTAAGGATAAAAGTAAAAATTATTGTTTTCGTGGAAGTGACTGTAAGGATAAAAGTGAAAATTATTGTTTTAGTGGATGTAGCTGAAAGAATAAATGTGAACATTATTGTTTTAGTGGATGTAGCCGTAAGAATAAACGTGAACATTATTGTTTTAGTGGATGTAGCTGTGAGAATAAAGTGAACATTATTGTTTTAGTGGAAGCTTTCACATTGGCTATTGAAGTTACCAAACTTTAGCAGCCATTTTCTTGCTAATTTTGCCTTTGAAACCAGGCAACCCCCTACCTCCTTCAATTGCTTATATTTCGACCTCTATTCAAGATAAGATAGGTATTTTATTCATCGAAAGCAAGACAAATGAACAAGCTATAAGACGATACCAAGATCTCCAAATGCCCCAAAATTGAGGAGCGCCTGATTCCACCGCATCGTGACTCATTTTATATTCTTTTTTTTCCTCTGGTTCATCTTCTCCCAAGGTCTGACCCTTGTGTTCCGTGGCTGTCAGAGTGACCTGCGACAGAAAGATCTAGAAGCTCAGATCAAGTACCTGGTGGAAGAAAGAGGAGCACTGTGCACCACCAAGGACAATGATGGAAGAAATCCGGTAGAAATGCTCCTCCTCCTCCTCCTCTCTTTTTTTGTATCTCACCTACCTCTCTCTCTCCCTTTCTCTCTCTCTCTCCCTCTCTCTCCCCTTCTCTTCCTGTCTCCATTTCTTTCTCACCATCTCTCTTTCTTCATGTCTTTCTCCATGTTTCCATCTCTCTCTCTCTCTCTCTCTCTCTCTCTCTCTCTC